AGCGAAGACAGCAGTTGATAAAAGTCTGAAGCCTGTTCAAAATGCTTTTGGTGATGTGTGCGCCAATTCTCTGATGCATATCGAATTCGAAACTTGTTCTTCATACCGAGTGCAACAGATTTCCGGACGAATGTTTTCCTTGTCTTTCCAATTCTGTCTTTGACATCCTCATCCATGCCTCCACCTGTAGCTGAGATGATAATGCCCAGATAAGTGAAAGAAGTTACTGCTTTTAAATTTCTCCTGTTGATAGTGATTGGTTCTTATTTTTCTTCATCACAACCGTCTTCTCTATGTTCACTTGAATTCCTGTTGGTAATCGATTAACATTTGGGCTAAAAATTTTCTCTAAGTTTAGAACTCTTCAGTATTGTCAACTTCTGCGTTTAATTCAAATCAATCGTGATTCTTAACTTTTGCCTAACTATGATATGAAGCCATCAGTATCTTGACTATCATTGATTTTGTCACAATATAATAATAATAATCATAATGTTGATTTATAGAATGGCAAATGTCATATTGTTCCCATCTCAAACCTCACACTTGCTATCGATCTATCTAGATATTCTTCCAAATGTTTACCACTTTCTCTCTCCCTTCCTTCATTTAAGAATGATATCAGATTTCAAAAGTCATAAATCAACTTTCGTCTCTTTTCTTTCTCAGAAGGAAACACCTTTTTCTGAGCAACCATAAACAGACAAGCGAACGAGCAGTGTACTCGTACACTCACCTACCCCCCTCCACCCACCCACACACACACATACAACACAGAGAAAAGACAGTTGACCATTAAAATAAACAAATAAATAAATCAATTGCATAAGTAATTAAATTAATTAGTCAATTAACTTAACTCGAATAGAGTTTAGCTGATTTCAGTTGCACTAGGAATGAATGAACATATACATATATTGATTTTTGTAAGACATTTATTGATCTTGAGGAGAATGTTTCTTTTAAAGAAAAAAAACCTGAGATTATTGCATAACAAATTAAGTGACCAGAAGATGTTGCATTTAAACACGAGGAGAAAAACTGAGTGTTTTTTAGAAAAAAGATGGAGCGAAGTGAAATGCAATAGATATCATGGTCGTTTAAATCTGGAGTCTTGCTCACTTTAACCACATAACCCCATAGAAATAGTAAACAATGATATCAAATAAGGTTGTGAAATGATATCGGCAGGACTACCGTTGAAAACTATGGAGTATTGGACAGCCTGCTTCGTCCTGATTGACTACAAGATGAAGGTTTGTCAGAAGTTCTAGTGAGAAGTCGAGAGAAGTGAGATCGACTAAGTAGTGTGTGAAGAAAAATACTCACTGATGACATTGTCTGGTCACAACGGAAAACTCAGTGAGGCGTTTGGAGTAAACACAGGAGTCAGACAAGGGTGCTTATTATCACCAATGATATTCCTAATTATGGTGGACTGGATTATGCGTCAGACAGTGGGAAACGAGAAGACAGGGATATCCTGGACCGACGTGAAGAACCTAGAAGACCTGGATTTCGCGTGTGGATGATTTATGTTTGATGTCACACAAGATCGAAGACTTACAAGCAAAAACCGACAAACTGGTCGAAGAAGCAGCAAAGACAGGACTCCAGGTGAACATAGACAAGACGGAGGTTATGAAAATAAACAACCAACAACAACAGCAACATCCAGCGCCAATCACCATCAACGGGAGGGATTTGAAAGAGGTTACTTCATTCACTTATCTAGGGAGCATTGTCTCAACTACAGGCAGGTGGAACGGACGAGGATGTCAAATCGAGAATCGGGAAGGCGAGAAACACATTCATCAACCTGAAACCAATCTGGAAATCTTCGTCACTCAGCCTGCATCAACAACAAAGTGATTCGGATTTTCAATACAAACGTCAAGTCAGTCAGTTCTTCTATACGGATGGATCAGAAACTTAGCGGGTCACAAAGAATATTTCCAACAGCCTGTTGCAGACCTTTATCAGCAACTAACTGTCTTCGCTCTATACTGAAGATCAGATGGCCGGAAAGAATCACAAACAAGAAACTATGGGAAGAAACAAAACAAGAACCAATCGCCCAACAAATATGCAGGAGAAAGTGGAGATGGATTGGACACTCACTGAGGAGGCCGTTGGGTGATATCGCGCGTCAGGCCATAGCTCGAGTGGAACCCGAAAGGGAAGCGACGAGTGGGACGTCTCAAGGGTGACATGGAGGAGATCGTGTGAAGAGAGTTGAAACAGTATGGACTAACATGGATGCAGGTGAAAAGTACAGCAGAAGACAGAAGCAAGTGGAGACGTGCAGTTGAAGCTCTATGTTCCACTAGGAACCCAAGGGAACAAATAATAAAAAATAATATTGTCTGGTGCTGGCTGGCATTACAAACATCATAAACTGGTAGAAGTTAGATTGGATCCTAAAGCATTGGCTGAATGGCTAACTAACTCGCCTCCGGGCCATGGGTGTGTACTTCTGAGGATTCGTCTAGTCTTCCTTAGTTCTCCTTCAGCTTAATTCTTCATCCAACTGGCCGCATATAACGAATAGATTAACAAAAAGACATTATATCATGTTAATAAAATTTCTACAAAAAAAAATTTAAATTTAAGGAAGTGATGCCAACCAATCGATTAGTATCATATGTAATTGAATACATTTAGAAATTTCAAAAACAGAAAACTAAAAAAAAGAAAAACGATATTAATTTCATTTATGGCTAATCTATACATATTTTGTTTTCCCTTAAATAATAATATTAATTTTATTATAAATTAAATTTCTTTTTAAAGGAAACTTAGAATAATCATTAAACTATTATGGTTTGGCATCATATATCTTAAAATTCAGTTTTGTTGAGTTAGGGTTGAATGGTGTATGTCAGTGGTTCACTGGTAGAATGCTTGCCAACGACACAAGAAGTCCTGAGTTCGATTCCCGACTGACATACTCCTAAACCTCGCCTAGTTAGTTTACTAGCTGGTAGTAACTCTGGAAAAGATGGGGGAGGAGGTTAGACATGATGCTAGCCCACCCTACCCCGTATGCAACAACAACAACACGACGACTACTGAAACTTCAAGGCTTCAAGCATACAGACCTATGTTCCACTTGGGACACAAAGAAATAAAGGAATAGTGTATGCAGTTGATTTTAAATAAGTTATTTATCAAGAAGTTCGGGTACTTATGCTTGTTACTGGTGATAATACTGCTATGCTGGTTAACCTTTTTTTATTATAATCCAGTCTGGTGGTTTCGAGTTATATACAGTATTGAATTCGATGAATAAAATATAGGTAACTCAAACTGTTCACAGGAAAATGTTTCCAACACGAACTGTTCCTTATAATCTTACCAAAGTTACCCGATAAATTTATTTTCCCATATAGTTAAATGAAGAGAAACAGCTTGATTACTACAGCTTTGTTCATCGAATTACTAGGTGATACATGCAACAGAGATTACTCACTACGCATCTTACATATATGTGAGAGATTCTACTAATAATATAAATCAAGAAATGATAAACTATAGAACTAATAAAAGTAAATTGTACGCGAAACCTCATTCTACTAATGATAATATATCTCTATATACAACGATACTCAATAATAAGCAAACTAAAATGGAATCATATTTTACTACAATGATCGAATCGTATTCTTATATGCTTTTTAATTCCTTGCGTTCTGAGAGGAACACAGGTCTTCAAGCTTTGAGATAGTGACGGTGGTTTTTTGCTTCCACACCATGGGTTCGCTAGCCTCACACCCACCTTCCCCGCTTCCTCAGACTTAACATCGTATAGTAAACCAACTGGGTAGGAGTGAGTCGTCCAGGAAGTGAACCTCGGACCACGTGAGTGATTGGCGAGCATTCTACCATTGTACCACCGATACATGACTCATACATATGTATATTTATAATCTTCAAGAATTGGTTTGTAAGGATTAGATTTGTTTATACGAATTTGACTACGGATTGATATCAGTTAGAGAACCATTGAAAACCAGGGAGTACTGGACACTGCTGTTTCATCCTAGTTTGGGAATCATCGGCAGTACGCACCCATCAACAGGAGGTTCGAACCCAGGACCTTCCGGTTACAAGGCAAGCCAGTTCGTATACCATTCAGCCACTGGGACCTGACCCGATTGAATGGCCAGCTCATGAATTCTAACTTCTACCAATTCGTGATTTAGCGTGAGCTTGCCTTGTAACCGGAAGGTCCTGGGTTCGAACCCTGGTGGTGGGTGCGTACTTCCGATGATTCCCAAACTAAGATGAAACAGCTGTCCAGTACTCCAGTGCTGGTTTTCAATGGTTCCCTAACTGATGCTATTTACGATCTCTCTAGTGGATGAAATCTGATCCAGAAAAGCATCATTTAACAACTCTTTAAGAAACACAAGCTCGTTTAAAATAATGTACAACACTTCAATCAATGTTTCATTTTATTTTATTCTCGTTGATATTTGCAAATTGAATTGGTCAGTCTGATTTGGACATATGGGCTTCTTAAACGAATACCTCGATATCTCCATGATTTCTAACTTCGTATACTTGTTTGACGGTGGTAAAAGTTTTGGAATCCAGGATGCATGTTTTTGTTCCACCTAGGACTCATCTATTTGACCTCCTTGTACCTTAGTGGAAAATTGTACTCCCATTGAGCCTCGATCTCAGTACTCATCTTTTCAAACACTAAAACATTGTCCATCAGGCTACTGAGCAATAAAACGACTGGAATAATGGTCAGTGGGTGCCAGTCTCAGATGGGACATCATCATTCACTAGGATCTAGGTATTATTTTCAGCACAAACTTGTCTGGTACTTTGAATAGTGATATAACAGCCTCACAAATCAATTCTAAACATTGGTGATAAGACTGATTAACTAACTGTCTGTTAAATTTAAACCAACACTTTATTGTACTCCAATTTTATATTAATCTTTTTACAATTTGTCCTCTTCTTTTTTTTGTCTATTTCCATAGTATGTAGCAAGTGAATATGATGAAAATTGTCTACCTGCTGCACTACTAGCACCGGTTATTACATCATCAAATTCAGAGGATAAAAAATCAATTTTTCATTTCAATGACAACGACAATAATAGCCGAGATGGTGAAGAAGAAGAAAGAGGGCGACGACGAAACTGAGGCGAAAACAGATGAAAAACGTATGTATAGACATCCAGAATCATCTTATTATCAAGAAGAGCATTGCAGTTCCAATGCTGGGAATACTGGTGTTGTCGGAGCGATGAATACTACTACTACTACTAATACTACTGATGAAGCTGAACATGATATGAAATCATCACGTGTGCCACGTCGAAATCGTAAACGTCATTCCAGTTGTGAATTATCACTTTTAACCAATGACTATAAACGTTATCATTATGAAGATGATTCACCTGTGAATACCACTACTACTAATAATAATAATAACATTAATAACAGTAACCCTCCATCAATGCCAATATCCTCTTCATCATCGTCTCATACATCTGGCAACCCCGTTTCTAACAGTCACAAGTCGACAGTAACTAATCACAGTCAAGCTTTACTGAATCCACAAATACACAATTCTGTCAGCCAAGAAATAGAGAGTGATTCACATTTGGCATCTACAGGAACACCACTTCATGATAACCAAACTATTCAGCCGTCATCATCTCCTAATCCAGTCTTGCCTATCGGTATACCACCCTATCCAACTTACATGAATCCAGTCATTCTATCAGCTTTAATGGCATGTGGTTGTTGGCCATTTAATGCTTTATCGCCATCACCCACTAATCCGAATACACTAGATCCATGGCGTACAACAAATCTAGCATTAGATTCATTACAACAGACAGCTTGTCTTCTTGGGAATCAACAACGTCTAACAAATCCAAACAATTTTCCCCCAGTTCTATCACCACCGTGTAATTCATCACCTAATCCAAGTTCACTTCAGTCGAATAGAAGTACAAGTCCAAGAAATTCACTATCTGAAGAAATCATCTCAAATCTAAGCAATATTAATCAGTTGAATTGTCAAAATAAACTAACAGGATTTCCATCATTCCCTGTATCGTCATCATCATCATCAACAGCATCATTACCGAATAATCTTCCTGGATCGCATAAAAATCTTTTCAATTATTCATCATTACTTCAACCATCAAACCTACTTACATCACCAGGCACAAATCCATTTCTCTTACAACTGTCATCGAATTGTCCAATTCCAACGAATTTCCCAATGAATGTTCCTTTAGGAGATAATAACAACATTAGTAATAATAACGGTAATAGTAATAATAATAATCAAAATATGCTGGCATCAGCTTTATCTGCATGGTGTACACAACAAGCTGAAGTTGCTGGTTTATTCCCGTATAATTTACAAGGTAGAAGTCCACCTATACCACCATTATTCAATCCTGCCCTTAATATCCCCAATATGCCTACAGATAATCGTGATATAATAACAATAATGCCAGTAATGAGTGTAATTCTAACAGTCATCGTAATAACAGTAGTAGTAATAGTATAATAATAATAACAGTAATAACAATAATAACATTATCACAAACTTATTAAACACTGTAACAAATGTAAACCAAGGGATGAATGATAACAAAGCACATGTAAACACTTCAAATTCTCATATTCCATGTAATCCATCTCAATCAGATACAGTGACCTCGTCAGCCTCTTGTTCTTCATCATCATCCTCGTCTTTATCATCAACTTCTTCAAATTCCCTCGATGAACATCAATTCAATTCATCTGTATTCATAAAAACGTCACCAAAGTTAAACAATTCCCTTGATAATAATACTTCACTATGTCCATCTGTTCGTCTCACCTCGCCTTCTTCGTCTATGCCAAGTTCAACATTCAATTCTCTTCTCGGTTCTAATTGTTTAAATGGAAATCAATCACTGGCTAACTGTCAAACCTCTGGAACGACTTCTTCTCTAGCAGCTATGATGGCAGCAGCTGCAGCTGCAGCAGCAATGGCTGGTATCTGTCGATCGAGTAGTACAGATTTAACAAGATGCAATATGCCAACTACATCAGGATTAAATCATCATCAATCACTGTCATCCCCACTGCCATCATCATTCCCTACATCAATTAATCAAGCATTTAAAAATCTGTCAACAGATTTAATGAATTTATCATCAACATCTTCAGTATCATCAAAAGAAATAACTGACGACCTGTTCAATTCACATGATATGATGATGATGGCAACAATGAGTGGCATGGCAACGACAAATGGACAACCTCAGTATGCGCATCATTCACAGTCAAAACATTTACGACATCAACATCGTTCTCATCACCAACAACAGCATAATGATCACAATACAGATGATGTAAACGATGAATCCATTACAGAAATGGGTGATGATATTGATGAAGAAGGGATAGATGATGGAGAAACAGCTGGAGAGAATGATGATGAACTTGTTGATGATATGTTATTACATGAACAATCAATGAATACTATGGATAGCAGTAATAAAGAATGCAATGGATTATTAGAAGAAACATTAGAAAATGATAATATATACACAGGAAATAATAGTGGTAATAAACATTTTGTTAAATGTTCAATTGGATTAAATGGTGAAGCGGTTAATTTAAGAAGTGGAAAAAGTAAGGAACTATATTTATATGCATGTTATTGGATATTGGTTTAACTTTTTTTATTTAGAATGCTTTCTTAGCATATGGTTGAATCTATCACTTTCTTTCCTTCAATCATTGGACTTTTGAGAATATGAATAATTCATCCACCTCAATTTTAGATGATTGTAATCTGCATATTTTCTTGAGGTTTTTAATACATGTTTAAATTGATGAGTTGGTGGATTCCAACTGGACAGCTGAGTGGTAACATCCTTGTCATGAAGGGCTTCAGGGAATGGAAATTAAAGAATACCATGCTTGCTGAGAGATACTGTAAGCTGAAAAATTATACATCACAAGATTTGAAACCCGCGTTGCTGATTCAACGGTAGAATGCTGACCGACCACGCATGTAGTCCGGATTCGATTTCCAACTGACGCATTCCTAAACCTTGCTTAGTTTATTAGCCAATAGTAAGCCCAGAAAAGAAGGAAGGTTAGACGAGAGGTTAGTAACACCAAGGCTACGGAAACTTCAAAGCATGAAGCCCTATGTTCCACTCGGAAAGCAAAAGAATAGAAACTACTAACTAGAGTGGTTGTTTCTTGTTTTGCCCCGAAAACTCAAGGGATCAAGTATCCCATGTAGGATTTCAATTGAATATTATTTGAAGAGTGTGAAAATCTGGATGAAACAACTGTCTAGTCCCTTCTGTAAATAACGTTATTTATTGAAAAGTTCAGCTATGTGATCTATTGTGTTTTTTTGGCTATGATCACAGATCAAATTTTTGTCTTCCTTTGTGTTCCAAGTAGAAGCTAGGTCTTCAGGCCTGAAGTCTTGAAGTTTCAGTAACCATGGTGTTACTTTCACAGGGTGGGATTGCCAGCTTCATGCCCAGACTTCCTTCTTTTTGGAGCTTACTATCAGCCAGTGGACTAACCGAGGCTTAAGAGTGCGTCGGCCGGTTATCGAACTCCGGACGCACCTAAGTCGTTGGCGAGCATTCTACTGTTGTTGTGTTTTTTTGTATATACGTGTGCATGTGTGCGTGCGCTTCGTTTTAACTCATAATTGATTATGACAAATGACATGCAATTAGCCATAACTCAAGGGTGTGTGTGTGTGTGATTATCAAATTATTTCTCACAAATTAATGTTAACAATGTAATTCAGTGTGACAAATAATCACTTTCATTGTCTTCCTCTTATTTTTTTCTCAAATTTTCTGAGCTTTCTATATGAGTAGATATCGATTTTTGCTGGATTGCAGCATTGCAATAGATAGATAAATACTCTATGCAAGGCTTTATTTAGTCCATTGATCTAAAATATTTGCTACTTACTTATGTGTTTGAAGTTTGCCATACTCTAGTGTCTTATCGATATGATAGAGTCATCAATCTTAATTAATATACAACACTAAGGATTTTAGACTAATTTAAGTATACACAAATCTGTAGAGGATTATTGAGACAATTTTAGATGAATGAGAGTCTTCTGATGAACAACAACACTCACCTACCTTTATTTTATCAACTATCATAAATTTATTTCTATTTAATCAGATATTGATTAGATTTGTAGGAATTTTGATTAATTTCATCAATCATTGGGATCATGGGTACGCATTGCTGAAGAGTCCTAAATTAGGACGAAATAGTGCTTCTCAGTGCTCATTGATTATCCAAATTATGTTAGTTTGTGACAGAATCGATGCGAATTTCTAATCATCATAAAGAAAGTATTTGTGTAGTCATTTTAGTACCATAATATACAGTAGTTGAAATTTCATATTAATTTGTCTATTGGATATATCACACACAGTATTATGTTATTATTCTGTTGGGCTCCGAGGGGAACATCTGGTTTCAACAACACATTTGTATTTCATCCTATTATTTTCACCCCTTTTTAGCTGGCTCCATAATTGCCCACAAGCGTTCATTTCCTCTTCACACTCTACTCTAGGACCTGCTTTTCTTGTGATGTCATCCAGGGTTGTCATCAGCGTGTGTCGAATCAGTGTTCATTTCCTTTGATATATTTGTTGGGTAGTATGTTCTTGGTTGTTTCGTTGCCAGAATTGATTATAGCTAATCTTTTGTAGCCATTTTCACACAGTGAAATCGTTTTATTTACTAGATGACGTTTCGGAAAGAATGTATCACTTAGAATTTAATTGGTGGATGGTGACTAGCAGTGGGATCTAGGATAACGCGCATTTCGTCCTATTTTGGACTCGTCCTCCAGCTGGATGTACCTGCATTCCCCAGTGAGTGAGTGATGATGTTTCCACCGAGGCTCAAACCCAGTACCCATAGTTTCAAACGCCAAAGTGTTATCCACTAGACCACTTGGGCCACGAGAACCACCTCTAGTACAACGGGTCATATTAATTATTTAGTTGAATTTTAGATTTTCCCGTCGATTGATTAGGCCGAAGTGTTCGGTCTCAGGTTCACATGTCGGCTTCTTGTGCAGATGCATCGAATGTGTCACTGTTTATAATCATATCACCAATTCTTCTGCTAAATTGTAGTAGTAAAATATTCCAGATTTCCAAGACAGGTGTTGAATCATTCTTATTGCATGTATTCGCAACTGCTCTCATTAATGAAGTTGGAAACGCCTCATATCAACATAAGATGCTTCCCAAGTATTTCATTCATCAATTTGAACTACTGCGTTTCTGTGCAATGTCCTCTGTTAAAATTCAGTCAGTCACTAAGTTTCACTTCGTACAGTGTCTCTTTTTCAATCGCCTGATTTGGTTTTTTATATCCGGTTTACTAGATAAGCACTATAAGGTGAATCATTTGGTGTATGTAGGTGATAGACATAATCTGCAAAGAAAGGAAAGGTTTCATTTTCTTTAGAACTCGCTTAAAATTGGAGACACAAAGCCTAAGATTTTTTGATAAGAAGGTATCACATTTACTGGAAATGATTAACAGTTTGTGGAAAATTTACGTATGGTCTCCAAAGAAATATTATTTATATTGATATGCTTTCTCACCCCCCCCCCTTTTAAATCTGTCCATGAATCCAGGAAACTGTAAACACTCATCATGGCTTATAAAGCAATACAGTTTAAGTCGGTGTAAAATTCAAGTTATACAGCTACTTTAACGCATATTTGACACTGAACACTCTGGATGAATTTATTACTGAACTGTTCCAGCTGTATGCTTAAGAGTACATCGATTTGAAATCTTTTACAATCTAAGCTTTCGTTTCAATACCAACCATTCCTCTTGTTACATCAAAATGTATTTCCTGAATAAAAGTTATCTTAACTGGTCATATTATTATATGGTTTGGTTTGTAAGGGTTAGTTTTGTTTTTACGAGTTGATCACGGATTGATGTCAGTTAGAGAACCATTAAAAACCAGGGAGTACTGGACAGCCAGCTGTTTCATCCCACTAGTTTGGGAATTATCGACACTACGCACCCATCAACAGGAGGTTCGAACCCAGGACCTTCCGGTTACAAGGCAAGCCAGTTCGTATACCATTCAGCCACTGGGACCTGACCCGATTCAGTGGCTAGCTCATGAATTCCAACTTCTACCAATTCGTGATTTAGCGTGAGCTTGTCTTGTAACCTGAAGGTCCTGGGTTCGAACCCTGGTGATGGGTGCGTACTGCCGATGATTCCCAAACTAAGATGAAACAGCTGTCCAGTAATCTAGTGCTGGTTTTCAATGGTTCTCTAACTGATATCAATCCATCATCAACTCGTAAAAAGAAATCTAATCCTTACAAACCAAACTATAGAAAATTATTCTGATGCTTGCTGGTGACTTGCTATCGGATGGAGTTTCCTGGAGTTCTAGTGAGAAGTCGTAACCGGTGAGGTCCATCCAGATGTCACGTGTGAGAATGGATGTCCCACCTACGATAATCGTTGGGATCGCGCTAAATCACGAATTGGTAGAAGTTAGAATTCATGGGTTGGCCATTGAATCGGGTCCCAGTGCCTGAATGGTATACAAACTTGCCTTGAAACCGGAAGGTCCTTGGTTCGAACCCCAGTGGGTGCGTACTGCCGGTCATATTATTATTATTAGTTGATTGGTGATTCGTTTTCATTTCATTCCTATGCTTTCCAAGTGGACCATATGACTTTAAGGTTTAGGTTTGAAGTTTTAGTGGCAGTAATTTTGTGTTTTACCGTGTGTGGTTACTTGTTGATGGCTTGGAAGAACATCGACCGAGAATCGAACTCGGACCACATGCATAGTTGATGAGCATTCTACCACTGAACCATTGACGCATTCGTCGATGATAGTTAGCAGTAAAAATCCGGAACGCGCATTCTTCTCAATGAGTATTAGTTTAGTGTACCAACTGAGATTCACACACAGCACCCATCGCTTGAAACATCAATCAGTCTTCTCCATTAGGCCAGTGATTCATAACTCCCACCTCCTGTAAAACGAGTATCAGTTGAACCGAAATACCTGATCACTGTTAACAATGTCGATTCCTACCTAGTACGGACACTTCAACAAATGCCTTGAAATTAACGTATTTATTATGAGTTGGTCGATAATTGGCTAGCAGTGAAATCCAAGATGTGTGTCTCTAAAGGCATTATCAAAATATTTCCGTACTGGAAGTTGATCATGTCAAACAGAGGCCATGCATTTCAAAATCATCTTATTACATCTTACCGTTGATCAAATATAGTCAGCTTAAGCTGATAGAATCTATTTTTAAAACAAAATAAGAGCATTACTGTCATTCAATCATTCGTTCATGCATTCTACCCTTCAAATGGATTGTGACTAAGATGGAATCGAATACTGAAAGGCCAGCTTAGTTACTATAGAATAAATATTTACCTTTTTCATAAATATATATTCAACTGTTAAATAATAATTACATTGATAATATATTCTCTAATGCATTGAAGATATATATTCAGGTTAAGAGTAACTAGTGTACATTATCTCTATTTGTTTATTCATTCATTCATTCATTCAATTAACTAGATTCTCTTCACATTTATCTCGTCTT